ATGTTTCCAATTCTCAAATTGAAGGTGTGTTATTTTCTATACTGACGTCTGATTTTTTTTAAACTCATCAAAGATACCAGGCTTGTATTGTTGTACGCCAGACGCGCGTTTCGTCTATAAAAGACTCATCAGTGACGCTCGAACCAAAAAATTAAAAGGCCAAATAAAGTACGAAGTTGAATATCATAGAGGGCTAAAAATTCCGAAAGGTTTTGCGAAATACACATAAGGTAATCTATTCCTGTGGTAGAACATCCTTAGTATTTTAAACAATTCAAAGTTTTGTATATGACATATAAATAAAAATAAACTTCTACTGGATTTTTATGCGTTTGATTTGTTTATGTACTGTTTAACTCATCCCGCCTGGTGCCTTAAGTTTTCTGTGTACTATTTCGTGGCCTTACCTCCTGGTGCTCAGTTATTTTAGTACTATTCCACGGATTCGGCTCCTGTTTGTCAGTTTTCTGAGATCTATTCTACGGATCCACGGATTCGGCTCCTGTTTGTCAGTTTTCTGAGATATATTCCACGGATCCACGGATTTGGCTCCTGCTTGTCAGTTCTCTGAGATCTATTCCACAGATCCACGGATTCGGCTCCAGTTTGTCAGTTTTCTTTGTATTATTTCATGGACTCGGGTCCTGTTTGTCAGTTTTCTTTGTACTATTTCATGGACTCGGGTCCTGTTTGTCAGTTTTCTGAGATCTATTCCATGGACTTAGGTCCTGTTTGTCAGTTTTCTGTGAACTATTCAATGGAATCGGCTCCAGTTGGTTATTTTTCTGTGTACTATTTCATGGTCGCACCTTCCATTGGTCCATTTTCTGTGACCTATTCCATGTATGGACTCTGTTCTCGTTGTTCAGTTCCTTGTGAATCATCCCATAGACTCGTCTCCTGCTGGTCTGATTTCTGAGGACTCGGGTCCTAGTCGTCAGTTTTCTGCATTACTTTTTCGTGGACTATTGTTATGCCTCACCTAGGGGCATTATGTTTTTTTTCGTCTATGCGTCCATTCGTCCGCTCGTCCGTCCGTCCGTCCGTTCGTCCGTCCGTTCGTCCGTATGTCCCGCTTCAGGTTAAAGTGTATGGTCAAGGTAGTTTTTGATGAAGTTAAAGTCCAATCAACTTGAAACTTAGTACACATGTTCCCTATGATATGATCTTTCTAATTCTTATGCCAAATTATAGTTTTGACCCCGATTTTACGGTCCACTGAACATAGAAAATGATAGTGCGAGTGGGGCATCCGTGTACTATGGACACATTGAATTCTCTTTTTTATTTCTTATTTGTATTCTTTGTACACAAATTTGTTTAAAGTTCAATGGAACTGATTAAAGCAAGTATTTTTCTGCTAAAAAGTCACGTGATAATCAAAGTGTTAGCTTGGTTAAAATCGTATAGAAGTAAGATTTGAAAGTTTAATTCAATTAATCAAAATTTGTCAAGGTTTTCAAAATTAGCCGAAGCAGTCTTGATCTTTCCACAGAATTTTCATAACGGGATGCATGAACATCCAAACAATTGTACACTAGCATTTCTGGATTAGGAACAGAATAATTACTATCAGACGTTTTACGGAAATTAGAGCATTACTTTGAAAAAAGGAGTTATATAAACCTCTGAAAGTATTTGTTTTTCTGTTTCTTACGTCGTCTGTATGTGTAGGAACTAGCTGGATTTCAACCTTTCTTACATTAAAATATATATGTCAACATGATTTCTCCGTCAGTGTAATGCATATGAAAATCCATTTCGAAAAATAAAGAGCAGTGTTCTTTTAAAAAGACACCTTAAGACACCTGCAAACATAACCTGAACAGACACTTTCAGTGTACAACCGCAACCAAAAGCAATGTAAATTATTCCACTCCCATTTTTGAATAAAAATTTTAACATACTCGTTTCGTAGTCGGACATGAGAATGTGGACCTCCAAGAAAGTACCCAAGTCTGGAATTTAAAATTATCTGGTCCGTAACTGTGAATTTAAAACCTAAGGAAAAACCGAGAGTAAATCTATATAAAACTCTAGTTCTTCACGTCAAACTGTGAGTAAATCTATATAAAACTCTAGATCTTCACGTCAAACTGTGAGTAAATCTATATAAAACTCTAGTTCTTCACGTCATACTGTGAGTAAATCTATATAAAACTCTAGTTCTTCACGTCAAACTGTGAGTAAATCTATATAAAACTCTAGTTCTTCACGTCAAACTGTGAGTAAATCTATATAAAACTCTAGTTCTTCACGTCAAACTGTGAGTAAATCTATATAAAACTCTAGATCTTCACGTCAAACTGTGAGTAAATCTATATAAAACTCTAGTTCTTCACGTCAAACTGTGAGTAAATCTATATAAAACTCTAGGTAAATCTATATAAAACTCTAGATCTTCACGTCAAACCGAGAGTAAATCTATATAAAACTCTAGATCTTCACGTCAAACTGTGAGTAAATCTATATAAAACTCTAGTTCTTCACGTCAAACTGTGAGTAAATCTATATAAAACTCTAGTTCTTCACGTCAAACTGTGAGTAAATCTATATAAAACTCTAGTTCTTCACGTCAAACTGTGAGTAAATCTATATAAAACTCTAGGTAAATCTATATAAAACTCTAGATCTTCACGTCAAACCGAGAGTAAATCTATATAAAACTCTAGATCTTCACGTCAAACTGTGAGTAAATCTATATAAAACTCTAGTTCTTCACGTCAAACTGTGAGTAAATCTATATAAAACTCTAGTTCTTCACGTCAAACTGTGAGTAAATCTATATAAAACTCTAGTTCTTCACGTCAAACTGTGAGTAAATCTATATAAAACTCTAGTTCTTCACGTCAAACTGTGAGTAAATCTATATAAAACTCTAGTTCTTCACGTCAAACTGTGAGTAAATCTATATAAAACTCTAGGTAAATCTATATAAAACTCTAGATCTTCACGTCAAACCGAGAGTAAATCTATATAAAACTCTAGATCTTCACGTCAAACTGTGAGTAAATCTATATAAAACTCTAGTTCTTCACGTCAAACTGTGAGTAAATCTATATAAAACTCTAGTTCTTCACGTCAAACTGTGAGTAAATCTATATAAAACTCTAGTTCTTCACGTCAAACTGTGAGTAAATCTATATAAAACTCTAGTTCTTCACGTCAAACTGTGAGTAAATCTATATAAAACTCTAGTTCTTCACGTCAAACTGTGAGTAAATCTATATAAAACTCTAGTTCTTCACGTCAAACTGTGAGTAAATCTATATAAAACTCTAGGTAAATCTATATAAAACTCTAGATCTTCACGTCAAACCGAGAGTAAATCTATATAAAACTCTAGATCTTCACGTCAAACTGTGAGTAAATCTATATAAAACTCTAGTTCTTCACGTCAAACTGTGAGTAAATCTATATAAAACTCTAGTTCTTCACGTCAAACTGTGAGTAAATCTATATAAAACTCTAGTTCTTCACGTCAAACTGTGAGTAAATCTATATAAAACTCTAGTTCTTCACGTCAATCTGTGAGTAAATCTATATAAAACTCTAGGTAAATCTATATAAAACTCTAGATCTTCACGTCAAACCGAGAGTAAATCTATATAAAACTCTAGATCTTCACGTCAAACTGTGAGTAAATCTATATAAAACTCTAGTTCTTCACGTCAAACTGTGAGTAAATCTAAAACTCTAGTTCTTCACGTCAAACTGTGAGTAAATCTATATAAAACTCTAGTTCTTCACGTCAAACTGTGAGTAAATCTATATAAAACTCTAGGTAAATCTATATAAAACTCTAGATCTTCACGTCAAACCGAGAGTAAATCTATATAAAACTCTAGTTCTTCACGTCAAACTGTGAGTAAATCTATATAAAACTCTAGTTCTTCACGTCAAACTGTGAGTAAATCTATATAAAACTCTAGTTCTTCACGTCAAACTGTGAGTAAATCTATATAAAACTATAGTTCTTCACGTCAAACTGTCAGTAAATCTATATAAAACTCTAGTTCTTCACGTCAAACTGTGAGTAAATCTATATAAAACTCTAGTTCTTCACGTCAAACTGTGAGTAAATCTATATAAAACTCTAGTTCTTCACGTCAAACTGTGAGTAAATCTATATAAAACTCTAGTTCTTCACGTCAAACTGTGAGTAAATCTATTTTGTTTTATACCTCAACATGATTTGCTTTCCTTTTTAGTTACTATCATAGTCAAGAAGCTTGATTCACCAAAAACATGGAGCAATCTAATTTAAATTCAGATCTATTTTAATTTGCGTGCTCGTATATATAAGTATATGAGGATAACGAAATCAGAGAGTCAAACATAGACAAAACCCTGCATGTGGCGTTCTACACGGTGTATATCTTCCCGTCAAACTGTTGGTTAATGTATATAAAGTTCCAGATTTCCCGGAGTCAAGACCGATTGTGAGTTAATCTATATACAGTTCTATAACTACTTGAGTGTAGATATTGAATGTTATATTCTAAATAAAGTTTTTAATATATCCTAATTTTAAATAGTGAGTAAATCTTGTAAAGCTCCAAATCTTGAAGATTTAATTTATTTAAAGCTCTTTATATATAGTCCATACAAAATGTAAATAAATTTATATTAAGATCTAGAACTTCCTGAGTTTAAACAAAACTTAAGTAAACTATATAAAGTTCTAGATATAAGTAAAGTTATTGATGTCTATGAGCTTATACAGATTTAGAATAAATATATTTAAAGTCCAAGATCTCTCCGTTAAATTGTGAATAAATCTATATAAAGTCCAAGATCTCTCCTTAAATTGTGAATAAATCTATATAAAGTCCAAGATCTCTCCGTTAAATTGCGAATAAATCTTTTTTTAGTCAATTTACACCAATCAGTCAATGATCCTATCAATCAGTTTGCTACTTTGCCATTCGATTACGTTCCTTTATTTATAAAATTTACAAATTTGGTTTGGATTGTATCTACATAGTTATATCCGACAAACATATCTTGTGTTCACAAGTGGTAACAATTTCCGATACGCGTTTATATAACAAGTTTAAAACAGACATAATAATTGTTATATTAACTAGAAAAAATTTTTTAAATTGAAGCGTTTTAATCATACGAATGAATAGCAGGACAGTTTTAAATCGTATATGAGGCAACTTCAAAATACATAATATATCGACGCACAATATGCACTTCATGTCATTTTAACATTGTGATAAATAATGGATGGACTGAGTTAGAAGAATTTCTCCTAGTTTGACAGTAAAGATAGTGATCTGGAATAACTTTTATAGTTTTACAGAAGGAAAGCAAATACGACCAAATTAATTGAATAAGGAACAAATAGAGACTGAGGGAAAGAAAAACGAACAAATAGAGACTGAGGGAAAGAAAAAGGACCAAAAAAGACATTCAGAATTCAACAAATATGATCATAATGAATAGTACAACTGGAACTGTGAGAGTGCAGGAGAACTTAATAGAAAACTATGAGGAGATTCTATTGGCTGAGAACAGATACGAGGCAAAAGCTCTAACTCCAGTGACTGTCTACTTAGTTATGTTGATGATCATTGGAATACTCGGAAATACAATGGTTCTTTACGTCTACAAGTTCCGTTTCCGAAGGTCAACCTCCCGCGTTTTTATTCTGAGTCTCGCTGCCTTTGATCTGATCACGTGTTTATTCGGAATGCCGTATCATATATTGGACTTAGCGTATCCATACACATTTACATGGGATGAAGTCTGTAAATCTTTGAGCTTTGCCCTGACTTTTACGATTCTAGGTTCTATTTACGTTTTAGATTTGATAGCTATAGATAGGTATCGGAAAATATGCAAACCATTGGAAAAACAGTTGTCAGCCATGGGAACAAAAATAATATGTTGGGTTACCGCCTTTGTAGCTGCGATTTCTGCGTCACCAATGATATTTCTATATGGCGTTGCAGACGTTGACACACGAACACCAAATATTACAGGAAAAGAATGCTATATTTCAAAAGATTTTGCTTTTACAGAATTTCCTTTGATTTATGACGGATTTTTCATTCTTGTTTTTCTTCTTTCGATTTTAATTGTGTCGATTTTATACATTAACGTTGGAATAGCCGTTCGGAAACGGAAGAAAGTCCACGAACCTAACCTCAATGGGTCAGGTCTCGGTACAGATACGCCATTAGGATCAAGAAGGACTGTTACAGGAGAAGACACTCTATCAACACCCTTAGGAAGTCTGAGAGAGAAAGATGGCAATTTTCGGCCACATATGCATGGCCATTCACCAATAATCAAACAGAAATCTAAATTTTCAAACCTATCGTACAATTCCCCACGTATACCAAGGAAAATCAATAAAGAAACGAAGAAAGAAAAATCGTTCAGACAAAAATTAAAACGAGCCATGTCTGACGTATCTAGTGGTGAATACGACTCAACTTCTGGAACTGGTACCTTAGACAGAGGTCAAGGTCAACTGAAAATCATCGACCAGTCCAAAATGGCGTCCCGAAAACAAAGAAGAACCTTTAGAATAACTACAATGTTATTTATAATTACATTGATTTTTGTAATAAGCTTCCTGCCTTATCTAATAATAGAAGTGATCAGTAACACCGACGAGAAATACTGGAACACCATGGAGACCTGGGAACTGGTTATATCTAGTCTTCTCTATAGAACTTATTTTATAAACAACATGGTCAATCCCATTGTATACTGGTGTTTAGATAGCAAATTTAAAAATGAAGTAGTTAAGATTTTTACCAGATGTAAAACATGTAAGCATTGACTTATTCGGAAAGATCGTTTTAACAATCATTTGTTTTAAAACGGTGTTTTTTGTTTTTGATTTTTTGCTTTTACTAGTGATTTTTTTTAAATTATTTTGGGGGGGAGGGGTGTAAGAGGTGAGATTGTTATAGTTATCTTCTATTTTTTTTTTTTAAATACTCTAATTGTAAATAATGAGCTCAGCGAAATTTATTTTGTTTAAGTTGATTAAAGATTTACAATGTAGCCTTTATGATTATATTTAAATATCTAAATATTCTAAGCGCATATTTGAAGAAACTGTCATCAAGACTGCTCCAAGCCTAACGTTTTAAAAGACAGTACTCAGAATTCTAATGATCATACATAAATATCGATTACAAACGTATTTGTTGCACGCGTAGAAATCAATCATTGTTACAAAAACGAGAAATAAAATACCAGTAAACGCTTTACAGAGAAAAATACAATTATGCCAATAACACCTATGCAGAGAGAAGTACAATACCAGAAATGGCTATGATTATACCAGTAATTGCAACACAAGGAGAAATACAATACCATTAAATGCTATACAGAGAAAAATACAATTATACTAGTAACTGCTTAACAAAGAAAATACAATAACAGAACATGATATATAGAGAGAAATACATTACCAGTAAATGCTGTATAGAGAGATAAACAATGTCAATAAATGCTATACAGAGAAAAATACAATAACAGTAAATGTTATACAGAGAGGATACAATAATACAAGTACATGCTATACAGAGAGAAATAAAATGTTAGTACATACTATACAAAGAGAAATACAATGCTAGTAAATGCTACACAGAGAGAAATACAATAACAGTAAATCCTATACAGAGAGAAATACAATAACAGTACATGCTATACAGAGAGGAATACAATAACAGTACATGCTATACAGAGAGGAATACAATAACAGTACATGCTATATAGAGAGGAATACAATAACAGTACATGCTATATAGAGAGGAATACAATAACAGTACATGCTATACAGAGAGGAATACAATAGCAGTACATGCTATACAGAGAGGAATACAATAACAGTACATGCTATATAGAGAGGAATACAATAACAGAAAATGCTAGATAGAGAGAAATACAATAGCAGTATAAAAATAAGGAGATGTGGTGTGATTGCCAATGAAAAAACTATCCATCTAAGTTCAAATGAAGTGGGTGTAAGCAATTATAGGCAGCCGTACAGCCTTTAACAATGAGAAAAACCCATACCGTATAGTCAGCTATAAAAGGTCCCGACATGAGAAATATGAAACAATTCAATTGAGAAAACTAACGGCCTAATTCATAACAAAAATGTTTACGAAAAACAAATATGACAAAAATGAACCAACGACAACCACTCATCCCTAACAACAAAAAAGACATAAAGTTCAGACCTGAGAGTACTTGCAGTTACTGACAGCTACTTCAAAGCCAATAATGTATCTAACACTAAAATATCAATCAGTACACATCCAACACCCAATGGATTTAATGTAAAGACGTCATTAACAATCGGAGAAAAACATGACCTTGTGCAGTTCCAAAATATAAGTATCGACAGACTGTAGTACCCTGAAAGTACATATGTGTATAACAATAATATTTAGTACGGTTTTAATTTACTGATAACAAAATCAATAGTTATACCAATAAAAACAATATTCAAAGGTTTAATTACAGTGTTGAGTTGGTAACCTTTACGAATTAGTTTATTTAAAGGATTGATACGTTTACCCGGATCGTATCTAAATTTCCTGGCTCGATTAACAACATGACCGTAAAATTAAGAATGTGCTATTTCGTTTGAAATAAGTTTTCTACGGGTGCAGTGAAACTTGCAAACCGAATCTTTGTATTTATGGAAGAATTTAGTAAAGGTTTTAAGTAATTTGTGGTAACGAAATCACTGACTTAATAACTTACTAGTAATCCATAGATTACGCTCATTGAAATACAAAACGTCACTACAGACACGGACATAGCGAACGGGTTGGGATCTATAAACACCGTAAAACGGTGCCAAAAGAACATCACTGTCCAAAAAAGAATAAAATAACAATAGGGGAGAAAAATCGACCCTTTTGTCGTTAATTTTGTTGTAGAGTTTCTGGTATAACACTGAAATAACTAAATCTAGGAAAGGACAGTTATTGCTGTTAATATTTGATTTATCTAAAGTAAGTTCCTTTGGGTAAGTAACTGCTATACAGAGAGAAACACAATACCAGTAAATGATATTCAGAGAGAAATACAGTAACAGTAAATGTTAGATAGAGAGAAAAACAATAACAGTACATGCTATACAGAGAGAAATACAAGCAATACCAGTTACTGCCATAAAGACAGAAATACAATAAGAGCAAATACTACTTAGAGAGAGAAAAACAATAAAAGTACATGCTATACAGAGAGAAATAAAATACCAGTTACTGCTATACACAGAGAAATAAAATACCAGTATATAAAGAAACACAATTTAAAAAAAAAAGAAACTAAATATTACATTTTTATATTTCTATTTCTCAATTTTTTTTTTTAATTTTGAATAGGCTTTTAGAGTTTGCATTTCCTGTCATGATTTCCTGCTTACAATGAAGCTATAAAAACGATTGTCAATACAGAGAGAAACACAATATCAGTAATGCTACAGAAAAAAGAACTAACCTATAAAGCTATTTAAAAGGAAAAAAACTGAGAAATAGAAATATAGAAATATAATGTTTAGTTTCTTTTTTTATTTTCATTTTCTTGTATTCTTTTCCTTTTTTTTTTATCTTGTTTTGTTTCTTTTCTTTTTTTCCTTTGTTACGGCAATAGGGATTGGTTGAGAACAAAACTTCACGACAAAAGACATGATTTCAGCTTCCCAATTGTGAATTTTCCATTTCTATGTAGAAACATACCAGAAGCGCCTGCATATGGAGTATATATCTCCCAGATGATACGATATTCCAGAGTTTGTATTTCCTATCATGATTTCTTTGATAGAGAGTTGCTGCTAACAATGAAGCTTTTAACACAATTCCGTCTTCTTTTCCTCGAAGGTGACATCACCGAATGAGATTCATTACCAAGTGTGTACTTACTTGAGCAACACGACGGTATTCACATGTGGAGCAGGATCTGCTTACCCTTCAGCCGCACCTGAGACCACCCTAAGTTTTTGGTCGGGTTCGTGTTGCTCAGTCTCTGGTTTTCTTTGTTTTGTTTTGTATACTGTTCGATTTTTGAAATGGCTTTGTCAGTTTGTCATCAAATTATGAGTTTTGATATCTCTTTTGTATATTCAACATCTCTTTGACTTCTTAAAGCAGTTATTGCCCTAAAACAACGATTTTTTTTTAAATGTGCATTTATTGCCTACTATTTTAAAACTATAATAGGTAAAAAGAAACTTTAAATAGCTAAAATGATCTACAAGACAAGATGTACAAATTTGTCAGACCGTTAGTCGATTTTTTTATAGGAGCCACTGCCCTTTTAGACAATGTTGATTTTCTTTTTTTTTTTTTTTTTGCATGTTTGCCTATTATCTTGAAAGCTATAACAGAAAGACAGAAATTCAAACAGTAAACATGATCAGCAAGACAAGATCTACCAATAAGTTAATTGGCCCAAATGGTCAGTCCTTAGAGGAGTTATTACTGACAATAACAATTTTTTTTAAAACATTTTTTGGTTTTTTCACTGTTTTCTTAAATACTTGACAGATAGATAACAACTTTACAATGCAAAAATTATCATCAGGACAATTTCTAAAAATATGTCAAGATGGTCGAAATGTTCAGTCAAATCTTTATAGGAGTTATTGCCATTTAATGATTATTTTTATTAATACTTGCATTTTTTGCATTGGCAAAAACTTTGGTTGATAAAGATAAACTGTAAATAGCAAAAATGATCAGCACGACACGGACAATCGGAAACACGTGTCGTTCATACGGACAATCGGAAACAAGTGTGGTGCACACGGATAATCGGAAACACGTGTCGTTCACACGAACAATCGGAAACAAGTGTCGTTCAAATGTACAATCGAAAACACATGTCGTGTACACGGATAATCGGAATACGTGTCGTTCACACGGACAAACGGAAACAAGTGTCGTACACACGGACAATCGAAAACACGTGTCTTGCATACGGGCAATCAAAAATCACGTGTCTTTCACACGGACAATCGGAATGACGGGTCGTCCACACGGACAATCGGAATCACGGGTTTTCCACACGAAAAATCGGAATCACGGGTCTTCCACACGGAAGATCGGTAACACATGTTGTACACACGGACAATCGGAAACACGTGTCTTGCACACGGACGATCGGAAACACAGTCATGTCGTGTACACGGACAATCGGAAAACGTATCATATACATTTACTCATAATTACTGTATGAATAGAAAAAAATAATCTTGTACAGTTTGTTAAAACAGCCATCATCATCATAATTGCTCTATCGTCATAAATAAAAATCTTCCTTTATTTTTATAAATTACCTTTTTTCAAGTCATAAAATATATCCTGTTACATATTACTGATGCGTAACGAAAAATAAAGTTTGGAGAAATAATTTAAATTTAAATCATGTGAATTTCATCAATTAAACCGTCATTTAAAGTCAAATTGAATATTTTCCAACTTTTATACACAATGTTCTCTGTTCTTAGTTGACATGGAACGAATAAGATCAGGTGGTTTAATTCAATACACATCCCTGTTAAGTATATATATGCTACATACGATTTAACAAAGGGTATCGTGATGTATTAAACAATGATATTCTTGATTGGAGAATAAGATTGCGGCCAAATTTAGGTATCGCATATTTTACTGTGAATTTGTTATTTATCAGAAAGGACCATAACTTGTTACGAAAGGTAAGATGATGAAAAATTGGACAGAAAATTACAATAGGATTTATTAGATTGGGTTCTTCTTTTTATCGTCCTCAAATATTTGCTAGTGGACGTTAATCAACCAAAATGTGATCATCGACCTGAATATGCGTACACCATTTGCTACTAGATGTTATGAAAACAATCAATCTATCAATATTTAACTGAGTTATGAAATATTGATTTTCAAAAACTGACTTTCAACTGCTGAAACGAAGAAATAGAACATATAACAGTTTATATTCGGGTTGTTGCCTCTTTGACACATTCCCCATTTCCATTCTCAATTTTATATAATCTAATAAAAATCAAGATAATTTTATCAAAACATCAATTGATTTTCAACAAATACAAAGCCTTTTTTTTAATGTTTGAATGTCACTACATGGTGAGAAATGTAATTGTAAAAAAAAAAATAAAGCAAAGACAAACTGACAAAATGACAAACTTCATGACAATATTTGATTCAAAATAACAACAAAACAATTTTTCATAAAAGGAAATAATTGTATTAACAGATCTGAAAATAATAATGTCAATATTGAAATGCAAAAACAAGTTAGCTTCACTAGAATAGGAGCTAATCAGTATACAAATGGGGTGTAATACAGTGCACATGCATATGCAGATAAATCAAAAACGTGTAATGGCAAATAATTAAGATAAATTGGGGGTCGATTTACGAGTAGCGGTGAGTTATTGTATGTTGCAATGATTACTGTTCTCAAACTACGTTTTGTGAACCGACTACATATATGTTTTATTGAAAAATGAAATATGTGAACGTGCATGTGCTAGTATTCAATCTCCTGTATTTTGAACTAGGTCCGTTATAATATACGAAATTATATATATTGTTGTTTTATCTCTATAATGGATATGGACAGGAATTAGGAACAGCTCTACTCTTACTTTGGCTTGATCTATAATGACGGACAATAAAAGATATAAACAAACAAACAATCACATAACCATCCGTGCCAATATAGTGGATTTATCTGTCAAAACATACATAATAACTACTTCAGTGAAAATAGTATGTGATATATGTTAAACTTTTAAAATGATTGATATAAAAAAAATTGCTGAAGACGGCTTTCACATGAAATAGTAAAGTCCCAGTAAGGCATTCGTATTGCCTCCATCAGCGGCGGATTCAGGCGGGTGCGTGGCGGGCGTGCGCCCCCCCCCCTAAAATTTGCAAAGCATGGGCTATCCTCAGCTTAATAAAGAATATTTCGATAATTTTACCTCAAAAAAAATTTCGCCTAGCTCCGCTCGGCGAAACTTTAAATTTGCGCCCGCCCTAACCTAAAATCCTGGATCCGCCCCTGTCCATCAATGAGAAATTAGCTATGCCTTCTAATCTTGTAAAATTTTTAAAATGCAAAATATTTATAAAACATTTAAGGAAAAATTTACAATTTGAATGAAGTTAACATTTAAATACATACTCGAACTAAAATGACTCTAGAAATAGTACTTAGGGTGCATCAAGTCCTTTTGGTATATTGTTATTTATGTTTCGGTTAATTTTCAGATATGGACAGAACCACCTTAATCAGTTTCATTTCGTGTCTTATTCTCGTGTGTCCAATGAACGGTGAGAACATAATTAAAATTTATTCACTGAAAAATGAACGAACGAATGAATGATCGAACGAACGAACGAACGCATGAATGACATTTCTATTCGAATTTAAATCTGTTTCAAATGAATAAATGAATGAATGAATGAACATCAAACTAAAGACAGCCTACAGAAAACAGACACTGAATTGAATGGTGAAATCGACGACTAATTCAAAACAGCTAAAAGTCGAATGGAAAACTAGCGTATAAAAGACAAACAGAACGAATAAACGAATCATTTCAATTCATTTTGATTGGTAAATGGAGGCTACGGATATAGTGTTTCAAAGTGATTTTTTATATTCTTATAAAACAAGCATCCAGGATTGCACGTGCTCACAAAAACACATTACTACAATGCATTTACAAATTTAAAACAAAAGAAACAAATATTTTTTTCAACTCGTTATTGTCCTGTTTTATGGTTAAATTGAATTATAAGAATTACTTAAACGGCGCTGACAACACGCATCATGTGTTTCGTATAACGCTTTTACACCGCAATAAAATTGACAAAAGAAGTAATAATGTTTGATAGAATATCATTATTTTTATATCGCACCAAGTCTCAGAAAGTTCTTGATTTTGCATAAACTAATTAATCGTTAAGGGCATACGATACAGTTACAGGGGAAGTAATGACGTTGCTAACGTAAATTGTTATTTTCGCGACGTCAAACTGTGACTTATCGGGAAAAGATGCAGTTTTCGACTGATTTTTATCATTCAAACTGATTTAACTTGAAAACGAGTTCAAGGACCCTTCTTTTTTAAAATGACATTTGGTTTGATTACGTATGAAGATTATGTGTACCAATTTTCATGGAAAAAGTCAATAGTGCAATTATTTTAAATTTGATAAATATACAGCAAAAAATTACGTTTTTTTCTACATTCATGAACATTTGATAAATATGAGTTATTTGTAAAAATAAATGTACAAATTTATAGAACATTTATATAAAACAGAAATTACAAATGATTTAACAAAAAACAGCTTGTGTTTATCTTTTAAAACAAAAAAGTTATGTATTTCTGTCGAAAGGAAAAATACGTCCACAAATCCGAATTTTGAGGAAATATCTGAAATTTCAACCTCAATTTACTCAAAAAGTAGCACATGGTGGTATATTTTCTATTGCATATTTGATTTAATCAGGTAAAAAATAGCCTATATGCAAATATTCATCAAAATTTCATTACGGGATCAAAACTGTATCGTATGCCCTTAAGACGTTGGCAATACTGAACCCTCATTTGAATACAAAGTCAACTTTATGTCAGTACAAATCACCCTTTTTTGTCTGTCAAAACCATAATTTGTCGCAAAAAAGGAAAACATAAAATTAAAGACATACACTGTAAGCTTAGTACTGACTTTGAACTGATTGAGTGGAGCTTGAAGCTTAAATGTCACCAGCAGCGACTGTAAGCTTAGTACTGACTTAAAACTGATTGAGTGGAGCTTTAAACTTAATGTCACCAGCAGCGACTGTAAACCAAGTACTGACTTTGTACTGATTGAGTGGAGCTTTAAACTTAATGCCACCAGCAGCGAAGCGGAGCTATTAATAAAATAATATATATATTACAGTACATGGAAGACATCACCATCCACCAGACAAGCCTGAACACCATTGGGATTGGGATAGTAATAAATATGACGAATGTCCAACGTCTGACTACTGTAACTATTTCTACAGTCAATGCACCGTAAGTAACTGTCTCATAGTAAAATATACGACGAATGTCCAACGTCTGACTACTGTAACTATTTCTATAGTCAATGCACCGTAAGTTACTGCCTCAAAGTAAAATATACGACGAATGCCCAACGTCTGACTACTGTAACTATTTCTACAGTCAGTGTACCGTAAGTTACTGCCGCAGATTAATAAATATGACGAATGTCCAACGTCCGACTGCTGTAACTATTTCTACAGTCAATTTACCGTAAGTTACTGTCTCATTGTAATAAATATGACGAAAGTTTAACGTCAGACTACTGTAACTATTTCTACAGTCAATGTACCGTAAGTTACTGCCTCATAGTAATAAATACGACGAATGTCCAACGTCCGACTACTGTAACTATTTCTACAGGCAATGTACCGTAAGTTACTGCCTCATAGTAATAAATACGACGAATGTCCAACGTCCGACTACTGTAACTATTTCTACAGTCAATTTACCGTAAGTTACTGTCTCATTGTAATAAATATGACGAAAGTTTAACGTCTGACTACTGTAACTATTTCTACAGTCAATGTATCGTAAGTTACTGCCTCATAGTAATAAATACGACGAATGTCCAACGTCTAACTACTGTAACTATTTCTACAGTCAATTTACAGTAAGTTACTGCCTTATAGTAATGTAATTATTTCTACAGTCAATGTATAGTAAGTTGCTAACTCATGGTTATGTAATTATTTCTACAGTCAATGTTTAGTAAGTTACTGACTCATAGTAATGTAATTATTTCTGCAGTCAATGTATGTAAGTTACTGCCTCAAAGTAATATAACTATTTCTACAGTCAATGTTAGTAAGTTACTGACTCATAGTAATGTAATTATTTCTACAGTCAATGTATCGTTAGAAACTGCCTCAGAGTAATGTAATTATTTCTACAGTCAATATATCGTAAGTAACTGCCTCAGAGTAATGTAATTATTTCTACAGTCAATGTTCCGGTAGTTACTGCCTCAGAGTTATGTAATTATTTCTACAGTCAATGTATTGTAAGTAACTGCCTCAGAGTAATGTTATTATTTCGTCAGTCAATGTACTGTTAGTTACTGCCTCAGAGTAATGTAATTATGTCTCCAATGATTGTAACGTATGTTACTGTTTCAGAGTAACGTAAGTATTTCTACAGTCAGTGTACGGTCAGTTACTGCTTTTGAAGTAGTGTAATTGTTTCTACAGTAAATGACCGTGAGTTACTGCTCCGTAGTATTGTAACTATTTCTACAGTCAATGTATAGTAAGTTACTGACTCATGGTTATGTAATTATTTCTACAGTCAATGTTTAGTAAGTTACTGACTCATAGTAATGTAATTATTTCTACAGCCAATGTATCGTTAGTAACTGCCTCAGAGTAATGTAATTATTTCTACAGTCAATGTTCCGGTAGTTACTGCCTCAGAGTAATGTAATTATTTCTACAGTCAATGTATTGTAAGTAACTGCCTCAGAGTAGATGTTATTATTTCGTCAGTCAATGTACTGTTAGTTACTGCCTCAGAGTAATGTAATTATGTCTCCAATGATTGTACCGTATGATACTGTTTCAGAGTAACGTAACTATTTCTACAGTCAATGTACTTTATTATTTACAGTCGGACAAAGGATATGAAGTACGTTGTAAACAGTGTTCGTTCTTCCAGACATGTATGAAGGATGTTAACCGCATGACCGATCCTTGTGACGACGTTTACATATGTAAAGGTATGTATGAAGGATGTTAACCACATGGCCGATCCTTGTGACGATGTTTGCATATGGAAAGGTATGTATGAAGGATGTTAACCACATGGTCGATCCTTGTGACGATGTTTACATATGTAAAAGAATGTATCAAGGATGTTAACCACATGGCCGATCCTTGTGACGATGTTTACATATGTAAAAGTATGTATGAAAGATGTCAACTACATGGCCAATCCTTGTGATGAAGTTTACATATGTAAAGATATGTATGAAAGATGTTAACCACATGGCCGATCCTTGTGACGATGTTTGTATATGGAAAGGAATGTATGAAGGATGTTAACCACATGGTCGATCCTTGTGACGATGTTTACATATATAAAGAATGTATCAAGGATGTTAACCACATGGCCGATCCTTGTGACGATGTTTACATATGTAAAAGTATGTATAAAGGATGTTAACCACATGACCGATCCTTGTGACGATGTTTACATATGTAAAAGTATGTATGAAAGATGTCAACTACATGAACAACCCTTGTGATGAAGTTTACATATGTAAAGATATGTATGAAAGATGTTAACCACATGGCCGATCCTTGTGACGACGTTTACATATGTAAAGGTATGTATGAAGGATGTTTACCACATGGCCGATCTTGTGATGATGTTTACATATGTAAAGGTATGTATGAAGGATGTTAACCGTATGACTGATCCTTGTGACGATGTTTACATATGTAAAGGTATGTATGAAGGATGTTAACCGTATGACTGATCCTTGTGACGATGTTTACATATGTAAAGGTATGTATGAAGGATGTTAACCGTATGGCTGATCCTGGTGACGATGTTTACATATGTAAAGGTATGTATGAAGGATGTTAACCGTATGACTGATCCTTGTGACGATGTTTACATATGTAAAGGTATGTATGAAGGATGTTAACCGTATGGCTGATCCTGGTGATGATGTTTACATGTGTAAAGGTATGTATGAAGGATGTTAACCGTATGACTGATCCTTGTGACGATGTTTACATATGTAAAGGTATGTATGAAGGATGTTAACCGTATGGCTGATCCTGGTGATGATGTTTACATATGTAAAGGTATGTATGAAGGATGTTAACCGTATGGCTGATCCTTGTGCCGATGTGTACATATGTAAAGGTATGTATGAAGGATGTTAACCGTATGACTGATCCTTGTGACGATGTTTACATATGTAAAGGTATGTATGAAGGATGTTAACCGTATGGCTGATCCTTGTGACTATGTTTACATGTGTAAAGGTATTATGAAGGATGTTAACCAAATGGCCGATCCTTGTGGTGATGCTTACTTTTGTAAAGGTATGTATGAAGGATTTTTTTTAGAAATAAGAATTAAATCCTTTTTCTTCTGCTATATATTACCAGAAAAAGATACAACGGTCAACAAGGTCATTTTTAGCGTTGTAAAACTACTCGCTGCAGTAAAAAACATATCTGTTTTGTTATTTTAACATGAAAAACAAATTTCAATACATCCTTGGTTTTATATTTTGGGGGCATAATAATTCCTGATGAAGGTAAATCCAGGAAACACATTTATAGAGTGTTACTTTGATCTTTGTAATCAAATATTTTCCTGACGTGATATATTTTATTTGTTCACAGCAATATATTCCAAATTTCAGATGTAGAAACCTTCAAACAGGGTATTGGAAGTCTTGTCATCCTGATCGTTGTCAGTGTAATGGCGGCAGCCATGTTTGTTGTTACTAGCTGTGTCTGTTACAAATACAGAATGCTGCAAAATAAACTGAAGAAAAGGAATATGTCAACCAAGCATAATGCCATCAGTGCAATATATCCAGGTATCATTTTTTTAAATTATATTGTAAATAAAATTGAAAATGGAAATGGGGAATGTGTCAAAGAGACAACAACCCGACCAAAGAGCAGAAAACAGCCAAAGGCCATCAATGGATCTTCAATACAGCGAGAAAATCCCGCACCCGGAGGCGTGTTTCCCCTAAACAAAAATATGTACTAGTTCAGTGATAATAAACGTCATACTAAACTCCGAAATGTATAAAAGAATCTAAAATTAAAAATCATACAAGACTAACAAAGGCCAGAGGCTCCTGACTTGGGACAGGGGCAAAAATGCGGCGGGGTTAAACATGTTTTTTTGAGATCACAACCCTCCCCTATACCTCTATCCAATGTGTTTTTTTTTTCCTTTTACAGAAGTAACAACAGAAAAAACAAAAAAAAACAAAACAAAAATGAATGTCACCGTATAGACTGCATCTTTCAAACGATTTAAATATTATACTAGAACCACTGATTAAAAGATAGACAAGTAAATCGATGTGATATGTAAGTGATAATACTTCTTTCGTTGATATTCCCTTCATTTGGACGATTCACATTACTTTCATGTTGAACAATAACATCTATGAATATGAAACCCATCCAAGATTTGAACTGAAAAAGTTACGTATGACTTTTAAATAGTCCATTAACTATGGATAACAAAGTTATTTTTAAGTTGCAGGAAACGGTACTCACGTGTCCAACACGTCAGATGATTTTTATAGAATTTCCAGTCCACCTCCACCATACAGAGAACACAGTGGTAAGTATTGTTAGTCTTTTCTTACCTGACACTGACTAACTTCTAGACTATTAGACTATTGATTAGACTATAGATGTGGGTATTTTTTTTTGGCTCGTCACTTTCAGAAATTTGCCCATGCTCACTTTGCAGTCTATTCCCTACGCCACTGTAGTGTTGACGGACAGACAGATGCACGGACGGACAACGTAATACCATAATACGTCCCGACTAAGACGGGCGTATAAAAACTGTTCCGTCTAATTTGTGGTTTCATTATTTCTGATAATTTATTTAAGGAAGTTGAAATGAAGGGTAAAATTAAGTTTCTAATTCTAAAATGTTACATGTATTTGGCCTATTGTGAAATGTGATCTCAGTTATCCCCCTTTCATGGGTCTTGGATAAATAAGACAGTAAATACAAAAAACAAATAAACCGAAAAAGACTCTAGTTTAAAATTAAACAATTTTCAATTAAACTGTATGTAATAATTTTCCGTGGAAATTACCTTTTTCTCAAAACAGTATAAATGTAAAAGAACAGAATTTTATAAATCAAAATTGTCCTTTTTCGAAATAAAAAAATGACAACGTATCCATTTGCTGGCACTAAAAATCGAAAAAAAAATTCACGGAACAATTCTCTAATGTATTTATTTTACAACAGATTAGTTTTACAAACCTTAAATTTTGATTTTAATTCACATATGATTACTTAAACATTTTGCCTAAAGCTTCAGTGAAAGCAAGGAAAATCTCTATCATTTTTCATTTATGACAATTTAAATAAACAAATGATAAAAATACTTTTGTTTGAAAAAATTTTGTCAAGTTATCAGTATAAATAAAATTGAAGTTCATTAAAAGATCGGACAATATTTTACGGGAATCAGTTAAACTACTACACCCAGAAAATAAGTAAAAGTCAAAATTGGAACTAGCAAATTGAATCTACCAGAATTGCCTGACAACCTGCCGCACAATTGGGACCTGCTATTACGCGTCGAACAATTATACAGTCATCTCCTAGGACTTGTATCTCCCGTCATACAATTATACAGTTATCTCCTAGGACCTGCTATGACCAGTCATACAATTCTACCATCACCTCCTAGGACCTGCTATAACCCGTCATACAATTCTACAGTCATCTCCTCTCCTAGGACCGGCTTTAACTCGTTATACAATTCTACAGTTATTTCCTAGGACCTGCTATCAGCCGTCATACAATTATACAGTCATCATCTAGGACCTCATAGTTATCTCCTGCTATAACCCGTCATACAATTCTACAGTCACCTCCTATGACCTGCTTTAACTCGTTATACAATTCTACAGTTATTTCCTATGACCTGCTATCAGCCGTCATACAATTCTACAGTTATTTCCTAGGACCTGTTATCAGCCGTCATACAATTATACAGTCATCGTCTAGCACCTGATATCACTCGTAATACAATTCCACAGTCATCTCATAGGACCTGCTATCATCCGTTATACTATTCTACAGTCCCCTTACAGGACCTGCTATCACCCGTCATACATTTCTACAGTCATCTCCTAGGACCTGCTATCAGCCGTCATACTATTCTACAGTCCCCTTACAGGACCTGCTATCACCCGTCATACAATTCTACAGTCATCTCCTAGGACCTGCTATCATCCGTTATACTATTCTACAGTCCCCTTACAGGACCTACTATCACCCGTCATACAATTCTACAGTCATCTCCTAGGACCTGCTACATGTATCAGCCGTCATACTACTCTACAGTCCCCTTATAGGACCTGCTATCACCCGTCATACAATTCTACAGTCATCTCCTAGGACCTGCTACATGTATCAGCCGTCATACTACTCTACAGTCCCCTTATAGGACCTGCTATCACCCGTCATACTATTATACAGTCACCTCCTAGGACCTGCTATCACCCGTCATACTATTATACAGTCACCTCCTAGTAGAGAAGCGAAAGATACCAAAGGAACATTCAAACTCATAAGTCGAAAACAGATTGACAACGCTATTGCAAAAAACGAAAAAGATCAAAACACAAACAACAGTATACAAAACTCAACATAGAAAACTAAAGACTGAGCAATACGAACCCCTCCAAAAACCGGGGGTGATTTTTTTTAGATAAAAAAAAACTTTCCTCTATTGATATAAAACTCTGTAACCATTTAATACTTGTATTTGAATGACTTCAAAGTTTCCGAAAAATGTATGATTGCAAAAAAAAAATGGCGGTATGCTCCAGCCAGTTCTAGATTAAATGGTCGTTTAAGCCTAATTGATTAGATGAAAATATTTGAGTAATAAAGTTCTTTAAACATTTCAAACATCTGTGTTACTAATTTTAAAGTACGTATCAAAATTTTTAAAAAAATGGATAGTTTCATTATTTATTATTCCACAGATGCACAGCGGGACCAACATTTCAACGCCATCCCTAACACAGTGAGGACCAACAAAGATGGCTACCAGTACAAGGCACCAAAGGTAGATGTCACAAAGAAATAATTCATAGACAGACGACAAATAATTATATATTTTGCAATGTTACATTTGATATATTAACTAAATAACATATTTGATTTCGGAGTCTGTAAAACGTATGATTCTTTTCTAAAGTATCCATTTTTGGTGTAGTTTCTCAGGAACTACAAATGACCATAGCTTAGGGAGCTACCATTTGATTTTTATGGGGGGCTAGGATGAAATTTGAAAAAAAATAGGCAGGACAGGAGTTTTGAGTAAAAAAAAAGGCAGGATGAGACACCCCCCCCCCCATAAAAATCAAATGATAGCTCCCTTACTGAAGCCTTTTCACATTCATCGATCATCAACTCCCTGTTTATCGAATATTTGTACTGGCAAAAGGGGTACAGTAGTTCGTTATCGTGAGGAAAAGTTTAAATTTACACGTGTTTTTAGTTGCTTTGCTTTGTTTTGTTTCTTTGCTTTTTTCATGTATTGTTTTTTTTTTATGTTTTCATTGAGACACGTTTTATTTTTTATATCAAACCATGGTTCAAAAATAGTTAATCATTATCAAACAAATCAAATGCATCAAATGCCGTTTGAACTTGGAAAAAAATTGAAAACAACACGTTCAATAATTTGTGCGTCCGAAGCGCTTTTCTGGATTTACCTTCATCAAGAACGCTCAAAGCCAAACATTTGAAATCCGAGGGATGTATAAGTACCGAAACAGTTGAAGAGCTATATGACAAAAATACCTAAAACAAATAGCCAAATTTATCTTAAGTCAACTTTGCCTGAGGGAGTTGAAACCTTAGTTTCGGAAGTTTCATACAAAAACGATTAGTTTCCCTTTGACAACGGAAATAGTTTTATAAGGGCCTGAAATAGGGGTTCTTCATTTCTGTATCCTTTAATTTGATATGCTCTTTTCTCTATTCTCTATATTATTTGCCAATTATTTTATGTTCCTTATATTTAAGCACCCCATTATTCTCTATTATGTAAACCCAAATCTAGAACCTCTTTAAAACAAAGATCACACCACATCTACGATTCTTGATTACTTACGTCTTACTTTTTTATTTCATACTTAACGCTGATCTGGGATCTGGTATTATGGATAAAGGCCGGTGTGGGGTAAACATCAATGAGACAGCATCCAAACGACACAGATAACCAAAAGACATCTGGAGGTTAACAGTCATCAACGAGGATGTGGTTTTTCGATGGCAGTGGAATGAAGTTGATACATATAAAAGCGTGACTTAAATATTATAGTCCCCAAAAGGATTGAGGCCCGCGACACTTTAAATTATCTTAGTTGGGAAATCTTGTAGAAGCTTTTTCTTTGAGTTATCTCCCCTAATATGACTTCTTCAAAAAAGAAGTAATATAAAGCAGATTAGTTGAGAAAGCCAAAGTATTAACAGTAACCCGAATAATCCAGTCGTTATATTCCGATCACTACGATCACTCCATTAGAAAAGGTAGTGGATAGAGGGCGCTGAATTATTCGAGTTATTGTAACAGTTGATAAAATGATATACATTCGTAATAAGATAGGTCGTACACAGTCAAAGAATAGATAACGGTACCCTACTAATATGTCACAACAGTGCTTAATCAAAAATAATTCTCCTTGTGGGAGCTTCCAATATTATCATGCCTCGCCTGAGGATGTCATACATATTTTAAAATGTGAGAAGCAAGTTTCACAGCATCTGCGTGGGCTAGCCTGTGATACTGATTTACAGATACCAGAGGTCCTTCTTGTATAGATATGGGAAGTTTTCACTGGATTCCTCTACTCTCGATAAGTATATTTGTCCAAAACATAAAAACATTCTTGTCTTTCGTCTTTGCTATTTTTATATGGAGTATAACAAGTGAAATGACAAACCTACGCTCTTGTCATGCTTTAATTGCTACATTTTTTTGTAATTGCTATAAAAAGTGCCAACAAAAAACTTTTAAAATGGTAAGCTCTTTGAGGCATATATAACATGATAGATTTGAAAGGTAAAAGTTTTTTATTTGGGAATAGTATACTGTCAATATAGTTTGTTCACGATGAAATAGACTAGCTAACTTATTGTGTCGGTACATTTTAGTTGAAAGTTTAAGAAAATAATTTGAGAGATATCATTAAAGCTCAACCTTGCAAATTTTATAGCTCTGTATCTTTCATAATTATTATTTAGTGGGGTTTACATGTTTATTTTGTAGTTGTGACCTATACACATTGTAGTTGTGACTTATATACATTGTAGTTGTGACTTATAAACATTGTAGTTGTGACTTATATACATTGTAGTTGTGACTTATATATTGTAGTTGTGACTTATAAACATTGTAGTTGTGACTTATATACATTGTAGTTGTGACTTATACACATTGTAGTTGTGACTTATATATTGTAGTTGTGACCTATACACATTGTAGTTGTGACTTATATATTGTAGTTGTGACTTATATACATTGTAGTTGTGACTTATATATTGTAGTTGTGACTTATATACATTGTAGTTGTGACTTATAAACATTGTAGTTGTGACTTATATACATTGTAGTTGTGACTTATACACATTGTAGTTGTGACTTATATATATTGTAGTTGTGACTTATATACATTGTAGTTGTGACTTATATACATTGTAGTTGTGACTTATACACATTGTAGTTGTGACTTATATATTGTAGTTGTGACTTATATACATTGTAGTTGTGACTTATATATATTGTAGTTGTGACTTATATACATTGTAGTTGTGACTTATATATATATATTGTAGTTGTGACTTATAAACATTGTAGTTGTGACTTATATACATTGTAGTTGTGACTTATATACATTGTAGTTGTGACTTATATACATTGTAGTTGTGACTTATATATATATTGTAGTTGTGACTTATAAACATTGTAGTTGTGACTTATATACATTGTAGTTGTGACTTATATACATTGTAGTTGTGACTTATATACATTGTAGTTGTGACTTATATATATATTGTAGTTGTGACTTATAAACATTGTAGTTGTGACTTATATATATTGTAGTTGTGACTTATAAACATTGTAGTTGTGACTTATATATATTGTAGTTGTGACTTATAAACATTGTAGTTGTGACTTATATATATTGTAGTTGTGACTTATATACATTGTAGTTGTGTGTTATTTACATATCATGTACAGAATAGAATAGAATAGAATATTTTTATTTCCCAAATTACAGGACCAATAAAGGGCATAAAAATCAAATATAATTGATTAACATAATTGATAATTCCAACAATAAACTTCACAGTGTACATGTATATTTAGTATATTAGCATTGATCAGAATCAGAGCCAACAACCATATATATTATGAATGCACAATTAAATAATAAAATTACATTATATGCATTCGTTTATCAAATTATTTACTAGTATTTACTAATACATGTATATAAAATAAAAATTATGATTTTAAAAAAAAATAATCTGAATACATGTCTATGTTTATCAATAAGTGTAGAATTTTATGGCAGTGCCCCTGGGCCTTAGGCTTAGAAACACATGTACAAAGAAATCTATTATAACAGTGCCCACTATCTAAACAAAAAATAAGACAAAGGGAAACTACTTATCTCACAAAAATCGGCGTTTTGTATTTGCGCCGATCTGCATTTCACTTGCGCTGATTTTTTCTTTCACTTGCGCCGATTATTTCTTTCATTTGCGCCGATTGTTTTACAGGTAAATTACAGGTGAATATTATAAACCTCTTCCGCTAGCCAGTTATACATATGTTATAAATTATCAATTAAAACATGCATATAACTGTTGCCCTCTACCCACAATGGGGAGGTGGAAGTAGGATTTCGAGCAAAACATGTCAATTTTAAGGTTAAAAGCACTCTGTTTACATAAAATAACTAAGTATAGCAATAAAATATCAAATGATATAAAAATCTATTTAAAGCCTTTAAAATGTTAAAGGACAATAAAACATCTTTACACCATGAAAATAGCACAGCACTAAAATGCAAAAAGGAGCAAATGGAACTTGAAATTATTGAATCGGCGCTAATGAAACAATCAAATTGGCGCAAATGAAAGATTGAAAATTTATAAAATCGGCACGAATGTCATACGCCCACAAAAATGTCTATATTCTCAGTGTTATAAGGTATGTAAACCAAAATATGTACATGTAGATTACTTTTTGATAAAAATAATATAAATGTACTTGTATCATCCACGATTGTACATATTCCTTCCATACATTCTGAATTTATGCTGTAATTGTAATATATCATACATTAATATGCTTAAATTGAACTAAATTTGATTTTTTTTTTTATTTTCAATATACATATAAATATATGCTAACAATAAAGGGAATACCACTTGATCCTCTATGGCTTTGGGTTTGGGGATGGGTTGCATTGGGTGAAGTGGGATATTTTGGAATATTCTTTTTTAATATTACAATTTATGTACATGTATTTCAAGTGGCAATGCCACCCACAATTTATTTCCATGCTTGTTACACACTTGCTTCCCTAATTTTATTTGACAGAATAGTCCCCCTCCCCCAATATCAAATTGTGCAAATTGTTTTTCATCCCTGCTTGCTTATCAAATTTTCAACAATTATTACACTTATTGGAACCAAATGAAACTTTTCCGCAGATTCATCTATTCTTCAATCTATTTAAATTTTTGTCAGCTCTATTGTTCCATTGAATAAATACAATAGCTATTGTTCTTTGTTGATTTCTGACAAAAATTTTAGCATTGTTTCTATTAAAATTTGCATTTTTTTGTTTGTTTTTGGTTACTTATAGAATACAATTAAGAAGGCCTTCGTCCAAACATCATAATTTCCCAGTTTTTATTTGTCAAACACAAAAAAACAAAAACAAAACAATAGGAACAATGTTGAAAATTTTGTCAGAAATCAACTTTTATGTTTGAATCACTGTTTACATTGAACAGATACTTTTTTCATATTACCGACTTTTGACTCCGGATTATATAATTTTTTGACAGGTTTCTTAATCTGTGGTTGGACATCCTGGTACTAGGTCATGTAAGAGCAACCAAAAGAAGTAAAATCAAACATAATATGTGCACTCTGGGGGGAAATTTTACTGTTTCTGATTATTTTGTTGTATGATGTAAACATAAAACAGTTTATTTCCTCAAAAAAAAATGTACCGATTTACGTTGCTCTTGGTTGACCGAGTACCAGGATGTCTTACCAGAGAGAAAGTAACCTGTCGAAAAAATATAAACTCCGTAGTCAAAAGTCGGTAATATGAAAATAGTCTATTGAAAATATATTATCGATATCAAATAGATACAACATCCCATGCAGTTTTGTGAGTTAAAACATGTATTTTCATCTTTTAGAAGATAATTTTTGTACTCAGGTAAATTAATCAATGAGTGATGGCTTTCTCTTAGAAGAAATTTAAAGGTCCCAGTGAATACACTATGGATAATCCTGCTTGTTTCTTAATTCAGAAGAAAGTTTTAAATCATCCTACAAAGTAAAACTTCTATTACCAGACTGCTGTAAAACAGTCGTGTCAATTTATATTATTTTAAATCTTATTCTCTGAAGATGAAACTCTTATGTTGTAATATAAATCACAACAAATCTTTTGAAAAACTTTAAAAAAAAACTACTGTATGATCGGTTTTCTGAAAATTTTAAAAATTCTAATTAAAGATTTCGTAGAAGGGCAGATTAAAAATTATCAGAGGTTGAAGACGAATTACCCAAGATAATACACACAAAAAAATGGATTTTTTGGAAGTTATGCATTTTTAAGATCCACTTGTAAAGTCTGTCGTCAAGGATTTTCAATAAAAAAAATTGTTATCCAAACACACCAACTCTGTTTATGACTCATTAGTTAGGTATTTCAATTGACCCATATATCTTATTTTTTAGTACTGTGAATTTTTAATGTTATTTCATCAACCTGTAACCTAAATATATAAATATAATAGAATCTGAAGCGATATGGTGTATCAAATATTTTTGCTTTATACTTTTCAAGACAAAAAAAAATCATCTCAAACACGCCCGAGCATAGAGGTGTACTCGACTTTCCCTTTTCGATGAAATTATTGCCATTTTTAGGATTTAAAAAAAAAACTGTCGCCAGGGGCAGAGATGCAAATTAATGCTTTAAAAAATATTCTTCTTCAGTGGGGAACTCGGTGGCCGAGTTGTCTAAGTAGTCGAACTACTGTATTACTAACTTGTCAACACTGAGATTGTGAGCTCGAATCCCGCATATGGCAGGTGCGCTTGATTTCAATCTTAAATTGATTGACTGTGATGGTCAATTTTCCTACCGAAGATTGGTGTTTTTCTCCGGGCACACTGGCTTCCTCTACCAATAAAAACTGAATTCCAAGAAATAGCACAATAGTGCCGAAAGTGGCGTTAAAACCAATCAACCAAATCAATCAATCCTTCCTCATTATATTTATAAAGTGTTATTATTATCAATTGTTGTTTTTCTTCTTGTTATCGGTCGTGGTGTAGTCTGTCGGTCGTGGTGTAGTCTGTCTTCTTTCACTTTTGGATATACACTGCTGCCTCAGATCTCTGATGTCTGATCTCTTATTCAGATTAGGGGACCCAGTCTATGGAAGAAGCGAATCGATAAAAACGTTTCTTATATGAAAAAGCGATATTGTCTAATAAGAAATTGTAAATATGCAGATACTAAATATATATTCAATAGTTAGTTAAAAGCAAAAGTTTATATCCGTGTAAAATTTGGAGTGCTGTGTTTTTCTTATGTACATAAATAAACAAATGCTATGAATTCTTATATGAATGCGATACTTTTAAAATATGATAGCAGTATTTTTTAATGTCACTATGAGTAACATTGTATGTTAATAAGCAGTTTTAAGGTCACTGCTAAATGTCAAAATGTTTTTGGTAGCATCTTTCCAATTTCTTAATCGGTTTTTGAAGCAAAATCAATCAAATAAAGGTTTTATAAACATCATCGTAATTAAATAGCCAAGTATCAAAATTATTGTTCAAATATGTTACATCTATTAAATTTCTTTATGAACGCATCGAAACAGTACATATCCGATATTCTCCCTACACGCATGGAAGACTTTCTTTATTGGGAACAATGAAATTAACTTGTGCCAAAGATGTATTATACTGTCCTTGATCAATATGATTATGCCAAATCTGACCTGTATTTTTCAATCTCGTTTTTAGCTCACCGTTCCGAAGGAACTGTGAGCTTTAGCCATCACTTGGCGTCCGTCGTCGTCCGTCGTCGTCGTCCGTCTGGTGTAAACTATTTCAAACATCTTCTCCTCTGAAACTACAGAACCAATTCCAACCAAACTTAAGCTGAATGATTCTTAGGGTATCTAGAATAAATTTTGTGTTTTATTTTCTGTTTCGTCAAAAAACATGGCCGCCATGGCTAAAAATAGAACATATAGGGGTAAAATGCAGTTTTTGGCTTATATCTCAAAAACCAAAGCAGTTAGAGCAAATCTGACATGGGGTAAAAGTGTTCTTAAGGTGAATTTCTATCAGCCCTGAAATTTTCAGATGGCTCTAATAACCCATTGTTAGGTTGCTGCCACTAAATTGGTAATTTTAAGGAAATTTTGCAGTTTTTGGTTTTTATCTTGAATAGTATTAATGATAAAGATAAACTGTAAACAGCAAATATGTTCAGCGAAGTAAGATCTACAAATAAGTTGATAACACCAAAATTGTCAATTGACCCCTTAAAGAGTTATTGCCCTTTAAGGACAATTTTACACAATTTGTTTATCAGGTTTTCCAACTTTAAAAAATCTTCTCCTCTGAAACCACTGAACCAATTCCAACCAACTAAACTTAAGCTGAATGATCCTTAGGGTATCTAGAATAAAGTTTGTGTTTTATTTTCTGTTTCGTCAAAAAACATGGCCACCATGGCTAAAGATAGAACATAGGGGTAAAATGCAGTTTTTGGCTTATATCTAAAAACCCAAAGGAGTTAGAACAAATCTGACACGGGGTATAAGTGTTCATTGGGTAAAGTTCTATCAGCCATGCAATTTTCAGACGAATCTAAAAGTCCATTGTTGGGTTGCTGCCACTAAATTGG